ATTTCTCATTGTGCACCATTATTACCAATACTACTGTCTAATAGTATGAAAAGGAGCTGGCCTCTGTTCAAGTGTCAGTAAAAGACCAGCATCTTTAAGTTTGAAGTTTATGCTGTTGTTTAAAATTATTGGGACCCCTTATAAACTCTAAATGTTGAACGTGGAAATATAAATCAGTCCGATTGGTTTGATCAGCCTAATTTTAAATAGATCTGTAGTTGGCAGGCTGGCTTGCATTCAAATTTAAAAGTGAATAAAGCAGATTTCATACTATGGTCATGTTTCCAGTAATGCCCTCATATCTGCTAGGACAAACCAATAAATCCATTGTTTATGAAATGAGTTCAAAGTTTAAAAAAAAAATAATCTGTTTACCTTAATTTTTTTCTAAAGTTTGTTAGTTTATTATGTGTGTGTGTGTGTGTGTGTGTGTGTGTGTGTGTGTGTGAAAATGTCACTCATTAACTTATCAAAATGTAAAGTTGAATATAAAAAATAAATTTCAACTGTCAATAACAAATCTAAACAGTTTGAGAGTCGATGCGTCTTTTTTCTATTTTTTTCTGTTGTTTTTATTGTTTGTTTGTTTTTTTTTCCATCAAACTGAGTTTTATGTAAACCATGCAGGAATGGAGCTAAAACAAGGTTAAATTAGATCCCCTTCAATGGGGTTTTTGGCATTGTTCCATCTAAATTCTGTTTTAATTGTCCTTAATAGATTGGTGTGTTTGACTGTAGTGGTATATTTTACTATTGTCAAATAGTTGCTGTATTAAAGTCAACATTAATTTACCATTTAATATATTTGTAAATAAAACCTGGAAAACAAACTCCTGCAGCTATATAGGTATTCTTTAATATTTCATCCATTTATTCCATGGCTTTTTGATTTCTTCATGAGGAGAGAAGCTGCACACGGAATCCCAGACATGCATACATCAGCTGTTAACAAATGTGCAATGAAAATCAGATTACCTTGTGTAAATCTGGTCTCTGAAGGGAATTCTCTACCTTTAGTGCACCAATCTATGTAGCCTCTATGATAAATAAGCAAAAACAACATAAGGTCCTGATTGCATTATGGAAAAAGCCATGGCCTATTTTTTGTGCATGTGCTTGGACAGTTTGCAGCATGTTCATCCACTGGTTTTGGTCTTATGTTGCTTTCAGTGTGTCTGAGAAGGGTGTTTTTTAATAAAAGCAAGTCAACAGTGATGGGCAAAGTTCAAAATCTATCTGTAGGACTGGTGGATTTCACTTTAGATGATGAGAACCTGCTTCTTTAGGCTAAGAGATGAACACACTTCTCAGATAAATTGCATTGTTCTGCCCTGATGTATAGCCCCTTCTCATTGACAACATCCCTGAAATTCTCACTTTATTCAACATGTAAATAAATGTTTAATAAGATTTTTTTTTTTTCTTTCCCCTGTCACATTTGGTAAAGTCTCTGTAAAATGAACTGATGTCAAAGCTGATAAATCTTACCTGATAAACCCAGAAAATGGATTCTGATGATTTCTATCTTGCCTTTTTCTCCGTGCATTCAAGTTTCTCAGTTTATATTAAATGCTCCATACGTGCCAGAATTATTAATGAACAACTGCAAATTGAAGGTCCTCCCCTCCAGAGCTTTGTGTGTGAGATATACATGCATTTATATCTCAGCAATAGATATCAGTCAGGGGACATTGTCATCAGGGTGTGCCAAACTGAAAAACCACTTAAAATAAAGTTTAAAAAAAACACGCTGAAGTACTGTTTCTACAGTTTAAATTAATTTAACGAGATGCAAGAGAAAATCCTGGATTCCCCCTCCCCAACCTATTGTTGCACTGGCAAGCTGGCATAAAGAAGAGCAGTTTCAGATTTTACTTGCTTAAAATGTTTGTTTGGAAATGTTTTCAGTCATTCCTCTGTTTAATGTATGATCAGTAGGACTGAGGGAAGGTTATGCTGCAACAAACATAATTAAAAACCACTATGAAATGTGTAATGTTAAATGTCCTGCCGAAGGTACATTTTTAGATTTCTGTACATTTTTAGATTTCTATTAAAGGAATTGGATCATGTTATACACAGTTTTAAATATTTTGGGTAAATTCCATAATGGCATAAAATTGTTTTAATTAATTTTAGTGTCATTGTACCTAAATAATGTTAGAGTTGTCTGTGCCAAGTGGATACATTTGGAAATTGCTAATAAATAAGCATCACCTGTAGTCCCTTCCTGTGCCTTTGTTTTTCTCGTAAAACTTGGTACATTCATCCGATTTTTACATTTTTTTTTTCATGACGCCTTTGTAGAATATTACACTGCTTAAATTCTTGATCTCAAAAATTATTCTGAAATAGCTGAAGTATAAAAGTGAAATAAATCCTATATAACAGTGAGCCAGGTTGGTACTCAGTTTAATAGTGGGAGAAGAAAATGAGATGATTGGGGCTCACTTTAAGCAAAGAGATTGAGGTTTGTGTTTGGATGGCTTCATAGTGAAGCCATTTAAATTAAATTATTGAATTCAGATAAAAGTGGTTATTAACAATCAAACCTTAGCAGCACTTCTTCATGCAGCTTCTTTTTCAGCTTATATTGGATATAAAAATGTTTCGAAGAGCCAATTTTGAGTAGCAAAGGCAAAATAGGGCCTTTTTAATCAGCCACAAAATAAATACTATAAAATGATGATCAGCTTTATTTGCTTTTTTAAACTATAAAAGGAAGAAAGCAATTTAACTTTTGAAATGGGGTTTAAATATAAACCTTAAAACAAAAGCTTAGCTGTAAATTCATTCATACTAAAATATTTCCTCACATATTAGTGATGTTTGATCTCTATACATAAAATTATTTTCTTCTGTTAATTTTATAATAAAAAAATAGGGGGTAAAAAATTGCATATAGCACAATTTAAGTTTTTTGCTTAACTTAAATTAGTTTTTTCTCCAAATGTTCACATTGTATATCTGCTTGTGCTGATGTCTCAATGAGGTCCTGGTGTAGTTTCACCAAAAGTCAGGCAGGGGAGGCCAAAGATCTCAGAAATTCACCACCTTTCATTGAAAAACCTAAATGTCTGTACACATTTTTTTTTTTTATTTTAGTAGCCCTTTGGAGTTAAATATTTACATTGTGGGATTTGTATGACATTTATGCTGTTTATTGTTGGCTTCCAGCGAATAACCTCTTTCCATTTCACCCATTTTACTCTGTAAAATAAAGTGAGCATTAAAAGTGTTTTTTTTTTATGGGCTGATGATCCATCACTTGTGTGCTTTTCTTCTGATAACATTAAAGGTTAAATCCAGGAAAAAATTGTGGATTTAGATTAAAAATTAATCACTAAACTTCATATTTATTTTTATTTGTCGTTTAAAGGGCCACCACATCTTAGTGCTGTAAAGATAAAAATATGAAGATAATTTGAGCACAAAAAAAAAAAAAAAAAGAATGAATCAATCATAAAATGCTAAGAGCTCATAAAAGAAAATGGTGTTGAATCTGAGCTGATGAACAAATGGATACTGCTAGAGCCTGTTTAGGAGATGGGCTTTAAAGGGAAAGTTAGAATAGCTAACAGCCCCACCTGCAGCTCATATGTTAGGTTTCATAGATTCTATCGAAAATAACAGTCCTCAGGTGTTGGAAATCTAACAGCTAGCTATCCTAAAACCAGAGGTGTCATGTAACGAAGTACAAATACTTTGCTACTATACTTAAGTACACTTTTTAGGTATCTATACTTTACTCTATCTATACTTATTCTTTTTCCTACTTCTGACTTCTATTCATTACATTTTCACACAAGTATCTGTACTTTCTATTCCTTACATTTTTAAAACAATTTTTATTTATGCAATCCAATGCAGATCATTGGTGCCATCCACATGTGGTGAAAACAAGTGTAATTGGATGAGTCATAAAACGCAAACACTCATTGGTTAGCTAAATGAAATCATCAGAAGCAAGCAGGTGTTCTTCAAACTGCAAACGTTAATTGTCTATGCCATGCTACAATGTAGGATTCAGAAAAAGATGTTGAAATGTCTGATAGTTGAAAGGTCGGATACGAGAGAGTATCATGAGTTGGAGACGGAGACCAACAAGACCTCCCTCATTCTTGGCCCTATCTCAAAGAATTTTGTTGAACTAGTTGAAAAATTGAGCTTTAAAAATCATATAGGTTATTTTATACTTTTATACCTTCAGTAGTTTTTAGAGAACATACTTTTTCACGTTTACTTGAGTAAAGAGCTCAAGTTGATACTTCAACTTTTACCAAAGTGTTTTTAAATTGCAGTATCTATACTTCTATTTAAGTAAAACATGTTTACTTTTGACACCGCTATCCTATAACTCCAGGCTGTGTTTGAGTTTCACTGCTTTTTTCTTAGTTGAATAGCATTCATGTTACACTGCAAATTAACATTAGTTATGGCATCAACAATGTGTCCCATCGGTGGCGAATCACTGGTTTACTGGAAGTACAGAAAAAATGGAAAAAATCAGATTGGGTGGACTTTCAGTGTCACCTTAACGTTTCCCAGTAACGTTGGTTTCTTGTGTAAGCATAGTTGGTTATCTGCACATATAGCGCTGTATCACATGGATATTGAAATTTTTCTTTTGAGTTTTTTTTTTATAAATTGCTAACAAAGCCTCATCGCTGCTTGGACGCAGTAATGGTTAGAGGTGTCCAGAGCCCTGCCAATTTTTTAATGCTTCCTAGGCTGCTGCGGACGCACCTGTGTGTTGAGCGTAAGGCTATCCTGTAGAGGTCTTTCATCTGACTGCCTGGGGGTGCTGCAAACTTTTAGGGGCCAAAGCTACATTTGCAGCACTGCTCTGAAGGGGTTCTTCCCTTCTCATCCCTCAAACGGCCTGGCAGCTCAAGGTGAAAATTGTACACACATACATCCACATCCTTACACAATCAAACCAATAACCAATGGTCACAAAGCAGGGATGTAGCAAAAGCTTCTCCATGAGGTATGTCTGAAAAGTATAGATAGAATGAATGAAATGAAAAAAAAAGTTAAGGAAAATAATATAGAGCAAGAATAGCTGTTAGCCTTCCAATACCTGGGGGGCTCCTTAAAGTCATGATACAACCTCTGGTTTCTACAGCTAATGGAATTAATACTGATAACTTCACTTTAAAATGTTAGAGTAATCCCTGAATGAATATGCCTCTGCAAATTCTCAATTATCCACAGATTCCTGTATGAAGATTTTTAAATTATTCCTACCTCTGGACATTTAGAACTATTAAAAAGGAAACTGCTGCAGAGTTCTGGTGAAGAAATGTAAATACTATTTTCCTTTAACCTACCTTAATAGCATGTTCAACAATCTCAAATCCTTGATTTAAACCGGGAGGTCTTCAACAGAGGGTCCTCCGGAGGTAGCGAAAGTTTTGGTTGATTAGATTTTTTTTTTTTTATATTCCCCCCTGCAATTTTTTCCACTGATTGAAATGTCTTTAAATAGACATTAACATGAATTCAACACACTGTAGTAAACAGATCAATGTAGGCAGAATATGTCTTTCAGTCATCAATGCACACATTCAGCAAAACACAGGAGCTCTTTCGAGCAGGGCACCGTTTCATTCACAACACCTGTCCCATCAATGAGGAATCAGAATCAGAAATACTTTAATAATCCCAGGGCGAAATCACTTTCGTTACATGACTCCGTAGAGTGACTATAGGACCAGTTTGATATAACACAATTTTTTTACAATATATATAATTAGGGGGTCCCCGCTCCATCTCGTCATCAGTTTGGGGGTCCTTGGCCTGAAAAACGTTGAAGAACCCTGGTTTAAACCATATATCATTCAATGGTGCCTGTCTATGAAGAGATAAAAAGTCTTAACCTCTTACATATAAGAAAGCTTGGATGACAAAGATGGAACAGAAAAGAATGAGGAGGAAATGGTGTGGGTCGACTTTCCTAACTTTTGGTAGTAGTTTGTAGACCTTTACATTAGATAGCCAACTCAACAGGGTTTCCTTTTCCTTACCTTCTGACAATGATAAGATCTGTAATTCAATAATGTCTGCCCCAAATATATATTTGAATTCCTTCATTACAATAAAGTGTAATTTAGTGACAAAGCAGCAAACCTACAGCTGTCATAGGAGAGTCTTTTTAAAGGACACTTGTTTGGGTTTATATTTGCATTTATACCTTAGATCTTTCTGAATCAACACTAGGTTAGGTGATTATTTTAAGGTCACAGGCATAGAAATCCAGCCCCTAGCAGCAGAAGTAATGCATGTAGGTTTGGGGCAGTAACACTGTCTGTCTGTACTTCCAGTGAAGCGGCTTGCCTTCCAGTACCACCAAAATCACTTCCTCCTAACATAGTCTCAGAGGCACTTTTTGTTGTGGAAGCTGCTCTGGACTCTGCTGCGTTTCCAGTACTTCCTTCAGCTTTTCCTCCAACAGACACTCCATCCTTGGGGGGTTGCCGTTCAGAGGTTTCCTTATCTGCAGTCTTGTACCACTGGCATTGAAAGTCTTTTTTCCAGATCTCAGCTGGATCCGATTCAGCTGCTTTAGTCCCTGCATCTGGCTGTTCGGTGGCTTCTGCTCCCTCTGCCTGAGAGAAAACGATAAAAGTAATCCTTTTGTTTTTGAAGATTAATGTCATTATCACATTTGTCAGTATCAATTCTGTCTAGAGAAGAGATAAAAAAGTCATTGACATTTAGGCATGCTTAGTTTTGCCTTTTGTTTTTCTGATTTGTAATTACCCCACAAAGAGACCCTAAGGAAGAAGACATTTTTTATCTCATAGCAAGGTAAAAAAGAATAGCTGTTTACTTGGAGAAAGGAACTATGTTTGTGCTTATTCTGCTATCGATAAGAGGAGAATGTCTAAATTTAGCTTTCAGCAGTCCTCTGTCACACCTTTTCTGTTGTCTTCTCTGCAACATTGGGTTGAGCTGGTAGATGGAGATAAGCGGAGCTTTCTGCATTTTGCCGAACACACCGACCCTTCCCCTGGCAAAGGGAGGCTGAACAGGACTGAGTTGCAGTTGTAACGTTGAGGGAGTAAGGGCCCAGGACTTTACGGACAAACACGGCCAGATCTTGGCACTCTCTCTGAGGAAATATGGGCAGAATGAGACAAGAACAGACAACAGGGTCAAAGGTATATCAGCTAAAAAAGCTTAGAATGTTAAGTTTATAAAGTTTCCAGGCCCTGGTTAGTAAACTGGGATAATCAGGTATTACTGCACTTTAAGAAAATAGATGTAAAGAAATGGTAATTTCTGGTTTGTCACAAATCATGCATGCAGCAAATCTGGGTCAGAACCTAGACATCTTTTATTGTCATTTTGTATAGACAGTATACAGTGTATACAAAAAGACATTTGGTTTTGTACAGCTCTTATATTTCCATTTCAAGAACCAGATCTTTCAGAACTTTTAGACCTTCGTTATGCTAAACTGACTCTGCGCTTTGACGGATGTGGTGACAGCATCATGGTCGGGGACTGCTTTCTTTTTGGCTGGTTAAAAAAAGGCTGTTAAGTTACTGAAAAGGTGGCTGAAGCTACATATAGGGACATCCTGAAAAGAGCCTTTTAGAGACTGCAAGACCAGGAAAGACTTTCACCTTGAAGAAAATGACCCACCAGTACACAATTTCAGTCTGTTGACAACCTGCAACTGAAGAGTTTTTTCTTAAATTATAGTTTAAAGGTGGTATTTATGGAAATTGGAAATAATTGCACCCAATACTTCATGTTTTTATTTGTAAATCAAATATTTGAAAACATGTACAGTTTTTTTTTTCTTTCTTTTTCACAGTCATGCCCTATTCATGCTGCTGCTTGTGATACGATTGAATATAATTTGGAGGAGGAGGGTTATTTCTCAAGTACCTCTGTTTTCATCTCACTTCTATTCCAGATGACTACGCCTGCTGTTCCCATTGCAGCACTTTCTCCTATGGTGTTGATCAGGTCAGCCTTCAAAAAGCAATTTTTTTCCCAGATGAATTTAAATCATTTTACATTGTATCACACTGGGCTAACTACTAAAAAGATACTAAAAGGTGTTTAATGTTTTTCCATACCTGTGATAAGAAGGTTTTAGTTGAAGCATACACACTCTTCACCAAAGGAAAAACCGGTAGATCAAACTCTGCTGCAGCCAGAGACGCGACTCGTAGTGCTTCTTTTATTTGACTTGACAAAAAGGACCTGGCTGCTTCCGTCCCACCCTGCAGAAAAATATAGATTTACACAATGAGATAAGGACCAATAAATATTCATAGTGTTCCTCTTGTTTTATATTATATTGATATTAGATTATATTACATTATATAATATTATATTCCAGTTAGGTCCTGTTTACATCTGGTAAGACCACCCCACAGTATGCAGATCAGTAACTGAATTTTAATTTAGGAGTAGTTTTCCTTTAATACACATTTTAATTGAGTAATTAATGCTATTCTTACTTGAGTGTTTCTTTTGCCTAATTTTTTATTTCTTAATGTATTTTGTATGTGGGTGTGTTTACCTGTCTAGCCCTCAGAGTGAGGACCATTTTTCCAATTTTACCATCAAATTTAGGACCATTTGTTGCAAAGGGAATACATTTTGCCGGTCCTCACATGCTATTTTGCTAATGGTTAGGTTTAGGGCTAAGGTTTGAATTGATTAGGGTTAGGGTGAGGTATGCATTGGTAATGGTTAGGTTTAGGGTTAATTTTAGGGTTAGGGCATAGAAAGGGTTGAAAATGACTGAAAATGAATGGAAATCAATGCGAGTTGACACATGGTCCTCACTACATATAGCAGAACGAGTAGGTAGATGTGTGTATGTATGTATGTGTAGTTTAAATCTTATAAACATTTACTCAGCGCTTTACTAGCCTTTAACCAAAATAAAGTAATTTCTTGGATTGCTACTTTTTACTTTTACTTTAAAGAAACAGTAAAATTCTTGTAGTAATGTTACTATTGTTAAAGTACATTTGTAAGTACTCTACCCACCTGTGACGCTAATGTTTTTTGACACAAATGGAAACAGATTTAGTTTAAAGCCCTTAAAAAACTTCCATGTTCGTGGTACCTTCCTTATGATTTTCTTCTGTTAATTGACGGCTATCCTACTGGCATACCCAAGCCATTTGTATCAGATCTAACCGATTAGTAGGTTTCTGCACCTCTATCCTCAGTTTGAGCCTCACTCTGGGAAAGGACACAAAGGCAGCAGTTAGGGAAGAGATAATCTGACTATTTGGATAAATGAAACCTTATTCATAGATCTTGCGAAGATTATCCATATTCAGTTTTTCATGATTACATTATCATGTGTGAATGGAATCTAAAGTTTTTATTAATTCAAACACGTACAAGATAAATTTTTTTAAGCTGATTTTTTTTTTTCTAAATGTGTTTTCTTGTTGTTGTTTTTTTTTTTCGTTCATAGTATTTCTTGCTTGTGTCCTTCTAGTTGTGAATACGAACAATAACAACAGAATCTGTCTTTCTATAGAGCATAAATGATGTAAGATGATACCTGCCGCTTTTCCAGGGTCAGGAGGGGAAAGAGTGCAGAGCTTCTTCTCCATAGCCACAGAAGCTCATCATTAAGGGCCATCTCTGCAGCAGGGCACTGGCCAGTGTAATTGGCTAACTGGGTTTGGGCAGGGTCGCTGTTATAGCAGCTGGGATAAGGAGAGAAGCCCCACAATGCCTTTGGCCTCAATCTTTTAACCTCCCGCAGCGTCTCCACCATGACTGACTGGGCCGCTGCCTCAAAATCCACCTATAGAAAGAGGAGGACATCTGTCACGCTTGTCCAGTCACTTCATACTCTATGACTAGAAATGTGGCTCAGCTGTAATCCACTATCAAATTGCTACATCTTGAACATCATAAAGTACATTTTCAGTTGAATCCAGAAGTTTATACTGTAGATACCATATAAAAATACATATATACATTTTTGTTCGTATTTGATACTCTTGGCTTTAAACTGTATGACTTGGATCAACCGTTTACCTTATTCATTCACAAGCTTTTCTGAAAGTTTGGCAGGAACTTCGGCCCATCCCTTATTATAGAACTGGTGTAACTGAACCAATTTTATTAGCCGCCTGGCAGGCACACACCTTTTAAGCACTCCCCATACATTTTCATACATTTTCAATGTGGCAAAGATTAGGTCTTTATAATGGCCTCTCCAAAACCCTGCCTTGGTTATCCATAAGCCAATTTTAACCAATTTGCCTGTATGTGTCGAGTCATTGTCCATTCACAAGACCCATTTGCTCCCAAGCTTCAAGTGTCTTTATGATAGCTTAAAATGTCCCTTCAGACTTTTTTCATAATGTTCTTTTTATAATCTTTTTTGTGAAATTCATTTGTCCCTCCAGCTGCAAAATAACCAAACAACATAATACTGACATTTTTTTTGGATTCTATGTGTGTATTATCAAACTGTAATCTAGCTTTTATGTGTTTCTTTTGGAGTGATTGCTTCTTCCTGACAGAGTATCCTTTCAGCCCATGTCGGTACAGTATTCCTTTTCTACAGATAGAAAACGAACACGTCTACTAGCAGTTTGATCCTCACCATGGAAAAGGACACAAAGGCAACAGTTAGGAAAGAGATCTTCTGATATTTCGGCCCATGTCATTATAGTATTCGTTTTCTAGTGGATAATAGCACTTACCAGCTTCAGCCAGTGTCTTCACAATTGTATTATTTTTTTTTTTTGTTATTGTGTTGGTATACACATTTTAGATGAAAGCATGTTCCTGACAGTTGGACAGTCCTATGGTGTTTATACTTGTGTATAATGTTGAAACAGATGAAAGTGGCACATTCAGGTATATAGAAATCACGCCCATGAATAAACCAAATCTATTCTTCATATCTTGGCTGGTTGTTTTTGGTTTCTGCATTATGTTACACAAAGAGGTAGAGTGTCTAGGTGTCATTTTAAAACATCCACAGGTATGTCAAAAATAATGTTGTCATTAAACCTATCAGAAGCTTACAAAAACATGACATGAGCATCTGGGTGTTCCCAGATTGTTTAATGGTATAATAAGCTATCCAAATTTCTGAACATGAAGAGAGTAATAAAGCATTGTAAAAAAATAATCCCTTTTTAATTATTATGATATTTCATAAATTCTCTTTGCTTATAATTTTCCTGTTGTTTTCTACTCTGTCTTTACTTACGTTTGATTCATTAGCTCTACCTTAAAAAGCCATTTTCAATTCGATGCAGTTTACCTATATACTGACAATTCTCAGCACATATCATCTCAAGGCACTTTACAGAGACAATTCAACCAGATTATGCAGTCCTGGTCTTTCCTCACCTGTGACCACTTCTCCACTTCCTCTGGAGTCCATTTAGGAAAGAAGCTCCTCAGCAGTTTCCTGGATGCCTCCTGGTACAGTGCCTGTTTCTCTGGGTTTCTGGACCACTGGGGGACCCACTCTGCCCAACGCAGGACCCCCAGACCAAGATACCTGGGAGCAGGCAAAGCTGCCTCTAAGTCTAGCTTTGTCTTCTGGACATGGGCATCTAGACGTGTGTACTGTGGAATCCCTCCATTGACTGGTGTGTTTTTGTCTAGAAAATATGGGTAGTTACCCAGAGAATCCTCATAAAAGACGGCTACCCGACCTTCCTGTTCCATACCAAAAGATGTAGGGTTTAGGCGGCCAACGCAGGAAGAGTCTGAGATCCCCCAGAAGATAATAAAAGGCTGTCCAGACAAGAGAGGAAGACGGGCAGGATCTGCTGGACCAGCATTGCACAGGCCAGCAAAGTAACCAATAGAGATCAAGACGAGTAAAGATGAATAAAGCAGAGGACTGCGCTGTGTCTGTCGTGGGAGTGGCTTTGGATCTGGATTGAGCTGTGGTTCGGTCCACGCCATTGATGCAGCTCAGGTGTTCAGGCCCTCACAGCCAATCATGTTGCTGAAAAAAAACAATATTAAAGAAAGTGACTTTCAATAGCAGATGGAGGGACATCTGGTTTCCACTATTATTACAAGATCTCTAAATATTTCATTGCACCAAAACTGCAGGATTTAACTTAAACCTTAAAACAATCCATCCCAGTATCATTAAGGTGTTAGGTTCCTCAGCAACTTAAATCTAATCTCTTTATAATTTAAGAATTAATTGTATGATGAAATTATAAATGTTGACAATCAGAGTAAGATGTATTTCTTTTATTATTGTTTGTATCACTTGCAAGGGATTTAAATAGAATAATTTCTATTTTAAAATTAGACTGAAAATATTTTAAAAAGCCACTTGAATTTCAGCGGAATGCATTTAAAAGTAAGTTAATTCTATACAAATGCATGTTTAGTCTGTTTAATCTATATTTTTCTTGAGAAATCAGAGTTTTTAATATCCATATCGCTCATTTTGTTGTTTACTGATTATTAATCCCTTGTTTTATGTAGTTTGGATTTGTGTGGTAGTTTTAAATCAGGTTAGAGTTAAGTGCATATAAAAGGTGTTTCTGGGGGCGGGGCTACCTGCTGGTTTCAGGCCATAAAAGGTTTAGGTTACTTATGCTTTAATTATCTGTTACTGTAGAAATTACACTTTGAAATTTTACAGGATAATATTTGATTATCCTGTAATTGATTATTGAATATTCTGCTTTGTTTTGGTTTTAATTAAATTCTGTTTCATATAGTTTTAGTCCAAATAATTAAAATAATAAACATACTGTATGTACCAGGTATGGTTTTCTTTAAGGCCCAAAACAAGCATACTCATTTGTTTCAATCTTGTTTTATATTGTTATATATCCAGCAGAAAAAGGACTGCAGGATTAACTCCATATTATAATAGTAAAACATAAGATCTAAAATACTGTGACTTATATCTAAATCAAAGTACAATGATTTTATAGACCAAATATTTGTTTTCAGTTTTGATTACGCTTGAAACAATTACTCATAATTAATCCATTACTAAGTAATCGTAAACTAATTTAGTTCTCGAATTATTGTTAACTGGACTTTGCAGAGTCTAAAACAAACTATTTGCTACCAGGACGACCCTCTCAAAGCAGCAATTAAGCCCCCCAAAAAATATATAGGTATTTTGCATTCATTTTCTGTAAATTTGCTCCATCCAAAACACCCCAAGTGACACTTGTCAGCACTGAAATGAGATGGTCTCAAGTTTGTTTCTCTATTCTTTTACTTCTTCACTTAATTTTATCCAAAAACATCTGTTTAAGATAAGTAAAGAGTATATATCTTTAGATTGAATGAAATAAAGATGCTAGATTAACCAACTGCTGAAATAATAAGCATTGCCCTGGTTTAGATTAATTTATTAGGCAGAAAATCAGACTGATCACCATGAGAGTCAATGTTGGTGGCAAAGAGATCACTACAGTAGAATAACCAATACTCTAGGAAAGCTTTTGATAATAGAAATCTGATTATTAGAATTGAGTTTTTTTTTTGGTTACATTTTGCAGATTGAAAGTAGAACTGCTGTTCATCAGTTCTACCAAAAACTGCCTTTTTCTCTTCAGCCTTAAGCGGTAGAAATATGAAAAATTAGATTAGATTATATTCAACTTTATTGTCATTGCACAGGTACAGGTACAAGGCAACGAAATGCAGTTTAGGTCTAACCAGAAGTGCAATAGCAGCAAGTGCAGGATAAATAATGGTTCTAAAAATACAGGACATGTGTTCTACTGAATAAGTATAGAGATGAATACCATTACAAACAGAATCTTACTGATCTTACTAAAAAATGGTTATAATATGAAATATATATATATTTTTAAAGTTATAAAGTGAGATAGGTAAGTGAGATAGGTGAGTAATATAACAATTGCTTGAGGTAATTACACTGGTCTTTCTTTGCTCAGAATATCTGGTTTCACTATTGTTAATATTTAAATGTAATTATTTTCAGTTTTAAGGTGGATTATACAATTCTTACATCTCAGTTTTTTTACTATTAACCTATCAGTTCAATTTCGTCATATTTCACTTGGTTGAAAAATGTCTTCATGTGTAACCACACACTTCCAGTGTATTGGAATCAGTCAAAAGTTACAAGCTGAGTGTTTGTTTTTTTTTGTTTTTTTTTAATTGGCAACATAAAAAGTCAATATTTAATGTCTTCTAGCTCGTTTTTGTTTCACCAGGAAATTGTCAGATTTTGGTGACAAAAGCTAAACATTTGCTTGTTAGTGGGAGCGGCTCTTGTGGAGAGCACAGACAGCAACATGCTTTCTAACAAGCTATTAAAAAAGGAAATGTCTCGGTGTGTGAAGGTGACTGGCCGAGGCGTAATGGATACAGATCTAAATGTCACAAGTTCCTCAAAAACACTGCACAAAATCCTGCTTGTTGACAAAATAACGCAAGTAGGAGACACCAACATCCTCTTCTAGCCCTACCCTGCTGCAGACCTTTTTAATTATCCTGCATCATTATTATTGTTTAATAGGTGATTTAGAAAACAGCATGTAATTGTGAAACTTGGGAGTGAGGTGTGTGTCAGTCAAGATGCATGAGCCAACACTCGAATCCGTTTGCTCTGTCCTCTCTTTGTGTGAGATATCTAAATCATATTCTAAATCAATGTCTGATCTGTTACCACACACTTCTTGTGAATTTTGGTAAATCACATCTTCAATTTAAGATGTAATAACTGACATTGAATTTAATTACATCTTGATTAATCCTGATTCCTCCCCCCCATTTTTGACAGGTACATAAATGCCACTGACAATGTCAATGAAATGATCGGCGGTAATGAATGTTGACAGGTGTTAAATAAGCCTCCAGACAGCCAACATTTTAAGGAACTAATTCCACTGTAGTCGGATGTCATGCTGTGCATAGTGTCCTGCTGAGGCTTTCTTTCTTTCACTCTGAGCCAAATTTGGTGAGGAAAGAAACGGGAACTTTGGGGAATATTCTTTCTTAAATACTTCAGAACTGATCAAGTTAAAAATATTTGTTTTATTTAGTGTATTATTGATTTTTCTCACAAAATAAAATAATTGTAAGACGTAAAGCACAAGAATTTATGTGACTGTCCTCTTGTGGTTGGAAATTAAGTTTTATATTGGGACAGAAAAAAAGGTATTGTATGCATATTACAAGCAGGGAATTAAAAAAAGATACCTTAAGTGTTGGCAACAAATACATTTAAAATCATTAAGCGTTTCATTGTTTTGTTGCCTAAATGATTTTAATGATCTGTTAAACATAGGCTCTGTGTATACACCTTGACGCTCTATCTCTCCTGTTCTTTTCCCCGAAAAGAGATCACTCTGGACAAACTCTATAAATAACACTTCATAATTTATATGTATCAAATTAAGGGGATCCTGATAGAAATTGTAATCTCACTCAGATCAGGGAAATTGTTTAGAGTTTACAGAAGGCAGCCGCTCCCCTCCAGCCTCACCTCTCAGGAAGTGGCCCAGATTAACAGTTAAAAAGGCATTTTAAACATCTAGTCTGCCACATCATCTTATTTTACATCATACACGTTAGCAGGTTATTAGACATCCATGGCTCCAGCCTTATTAAAATAGGACACCCATCTCATTCATTTCCAAATCTTTGCCACATACAGAATGAATATTAAAACTGCATATCCCAACAGAAGAACTGTCTTGGTTAGATTAAAACGTCAGTTCTGACATGCAACAGGCAGCCAATACCAAGGTGTAATAAACTCACACATCTTCAATGATAATTATCCTAACAGATCTAACATAAAGTGTAAAAAGCTGCATACTGTAGCTTAGATTCTACAAGAATGAATCAAATAGAAAGAAAATGGCGAACACAATAAATGGAAAAATACATATCCAGGGCTATAGAAAACAAGCAACCACCAATATCCGGTGTGTTTTTTTTTCTCACATTTGTTTCAGATCTTCAAATAGATTTCAACTTCAGATCAAAATGAGCCACAAATAAACAAAAATCTTTTTCATTGGTGGCATTATTTTTTGTTAAGGGAACACAGCTGTCCAAACTACTCTGACTATTTGTAAATCCGCTCATGTTTTGAGATAAATACTGCAGTCTTTTCATCCTGGTGGAGGAATTTTGACCTATTCTTCCTTGTAAAACTTAAATTTAAGTCAAATAGGGTTTTTTTTTGTTTTGTTTTTTAACCCACCCAGTCACTCCAAACCTTTTATTTTGGTGTCTTTGAGCCATTGGGGGAATTGCTTCCTGATGGGCTTTGCATCATCGTCTTGCTGCATATGCCAAGTGTGCTAAGCTAAGGGTAGAAAATCAGCTCTTAATCAGTTCTGAAGCTGAAGAGGCAAAGAAGCCTTAGGTCATCATAATGCTACCCCTATGTCCATCAGTAAGATGTTATTTCATTTAAATACTGATAGTTTTACATAATAATGAAAAATCTTTATGGCTTTTAGAAACCAATGTTTGTTCTCATCAGCAGCATTCCCTTTACCATGGGCATTAATCCGGACTGTAAGTGTAACCTTTTTTTCATACCAAAAGCTGTAATCCCATCGTGGTGGATGTAATCCCTATCTCCCTGCTTGTAGTGAGTGGTAAACGTGAGAAGTGGCTAATCTGTTCCGGATAAGCCTCTTCTCTGTGTTTACTTTTCAGTTTGCCCCAACGCCTGCTGTCTCCTCTGCTAAAAGTTTAAAAACGAGCCTCAATTGTATTTAGTTTTATTTTTTTATTTTTTTTTATAAATCCATGCCGGTTTTTTACATGTTTTAATTTTAAGACGAGTTACTGATCCAAAAAGAGATCTTTTTTAGGCTGTTTGGAAGATATTTTTTTTATTACTCTTTATCAGTAAAGCAGTTCAGGATGAAATTTCTTAGCTCTAACAGGCTGGAGTAATTATTAGCAGAGAAACACCATCTGGTTTTCTTCTGAAATTGTTTCCTGCTCACTTACACCTCACAGTAAATGTGT